TGAAGCTCAGAGCCCGCATGTGCAGGTAGCCCCCCCCCCCACATGCACATTTCATGTCATACAGTTGACCAAGAATGAGGCGTGTGGCTGGAGTGTCACAGAATATATGGCTCTCGTTCGAAGCCCCCATCATCACTTTATTTATATGGCACTGTGTAGTGCCAACCCCCCCCCCTCCCTCCCTCCCCTCCTCTATGTCCCCCCTCCCCTACCCCTCCTCTTCCCTAATTTCCCCCTTACCTTCCCATTTATCCCACTCTCCCCTCCTTCTGTATTTCCCCTACCCTCCCCGACTCTTCCCTAAACCTCCCTTCCCCTACGCTCCCCTCCCCACTCCTGGTTTGTGGAGTATAAGTGATTTAATACAATAATACTGAATTAATATTGCATATGAATAGGCCTTACAGTGATTGTTCGCGTGTAGGCCTACACGCAGCCTACTTGTTGCATAAATCTGCAATGTTGAATCCTCAGAGAGGCCGTATTGACGGCCGTAGTATTCTGTTAAGTTTGTAATAATAATAATTTATTATTATTATTTTCTAAGATATTCAAAGAATCGGTATTATATCAAGTTATATGCCACATAGGGAATGAGTGAGTGAGTGAGTGGGTGGGTGAGTGGGTGGGTGAGTGAGTGAGTGGGTGAGTGAGTGGGTGAGTGAGTGAGTGAGTGGGTGAGTGAGTGAGTGGGTGAGTGGGTGGGTGAGTGGGTGGGTGAGTGAGTGAGTGAGTGAGTGGGTGAGTGAGTGGGTGGGTGAGTGGGTGCGTGAGTGGGTGGGTGAGTGGGTGGGTGAGTGAGTGGGTGAGTGAGTGAGTGGGTGAGTGGGTGAGTGAGTGAGTGGGTGAGTGAGTGAGTGGGTGGGTGAGTGAGTGAGTGGGTGGGTGAGTGAATGAGTGGGTGGGTGAGTGAGTGGGTGAGTGGGTGGGTGAGTGAGTGAGTGGGTGAGTGAGTGGGTGAGTGAGTGGGTGAGTGAGTGGGTGAGTGAGTGGGTGAGTGGGTGGGTGAGTGAGTGAATGAGTGAGTGGGTGGGTGAGTGAGTGAGTGGGTGAGTGGGTGGGTGAGTGGGTGGGTGAGTGAGTGAGTGAGTGAGTGGGTGAGTGAGTGGGTGGGTGAGTGGGTGCGTGAGTGGGTGGGTGAGTGGGTGGGTGAGTGGGTGGGTGAGTGAGTGAGTGGGTGAGTGGGTGAGTGAGTGAGTGGGTGAGTGAGTGAGTGGGTGGGTGAGTGAGTGAGTGGGTGGGTGAGTGAATGAGTGGGTGGGTGAGTGAGTGGGTGAGTGGGTGGGTGAGTGAGTGAGTGGGTGAGTGGGTGGGTGAGTAAGTGGGTGAGTGAGTGGGTGAGTGAGTGGGTGAGTGGGTGGGTGAGTGAGTGAATGAGTGAGTGGGTGGGTGAGTGAGTGAGTGGGTGAGTGGGTGAGTGAGTGAGTGGGTGAGTGGGTGAGTGGGTGGGTGAGTGAGTGAGTGAATGAGTGAGTGGGTGAGTGGGTGGGTGAGTAAGTGAGTGGGTGGGTGAGTGGGTGAGTGAGTGGGTGAGTGGGTGGGTGAGTGAGTGAGTGAGTGAGTGAGTGAGTGAGTGAGTGAGTGAGTGAGTGAGTGAGCGAGCGAGTGAGTGAGTGAGTGCCTGACCATCTCAATGGCCAAGCCAGTGAGTCTTGTCTCAGATGAGTAACTACAGGGAAGATACCACTGTGGTGACGTGTGTGTGGGGGGTTCGGGGGGGCGGATGAATATATTCCCCCCCCCCCCCCCCCCCGCTGGTCGCTGTTGCAGCGGTTGTGGTGCGACAATCCACCATTTTACGGGGCTGGTGATGCACGATTTGTTTCAGTTAATCTATTGAGCAAATTTGTGCTTTTTTGTTTTAGTTGCGTGAGTTAGCGTGCGGGGGGGGCGTGTTGAAATGTTGTTTATTTTTATCACCGGGAGTGGTGAGTGACGGGGGGGAGGAGGTGAGTGACAGTGGGGAGGAGGTGAGTGACGGGGGGTAAGTGACAGTGGGGAGGAGGTGAGTGACGGGGGGGAGGAGGTGAGTGACAGTGGGGAGGAGGTGAGTGACGGGGGGGGGGTAAGTGACAGTGGGGAGGAGGTGAGTGACGGGGGGATCAGCCGGGCTGTGGTGGGTACGTGGCCCTGCGGGCCGCTCCAAGCAACAGCCTGGTGGACCAAACTCTCACAAGTCGAGCCTGGCCTCGGGCCGGGCTTGGGGAGTAGAAGAACTCCCAGAACCCCAACAACCAGGTATCAACCAGGGGAGGAGGTGAGTGACAGTGGGGAGGAGGTGAGTGACGGGGGGGGGGTAAGTGACAGTGGGGAGGAGGTGAGTGACGGGGGGGGGGGTAAGTGACAGTGGGGAGGAGGTGAGTGACAGTGGGGAGGAGGTGAGTGACGGGGGGGGGGGTAAGTGACAGTGGGGAGGAGGTGAGTGACGGGGGGGGGGGTAAGTGACAGTGGGGAGGAGGTGAGTGACGGGGGGGGGGTAAGTGACAGTAGGGAGGAGGTGAGTGACGGGGGGGTAAGTGACAGTGGGGAGGAGGTGAGTGACGGGGGGGTAAGTGACAGTAGGGAGGAGTTGAGTGACAGTGGGGAGGGGTTGAGTGACAGTGGGGATGGGTGATTGACAATGGGGAGGGGTTGAGTGACAGTGGGGAGGAGTGAGTGACAGTGGGGAGGGGTGATTGACAGTGGGGGGGTTGAGTGACAGTGGGGAGGGGTTGAGTGACAGTGGGGAGGGGTGATTGACAGTGGGGAGGGGTGAGTGACAGTGGGGAGGGGTTGAGTGACAGTGGGGAGGGGTGAGTGACAGTAGGGTGGTGAGTGACAGGGGAGGGGGGGTGAGTGACGGGGGAGGGGGGAGTGACAGTGGGGATGGGTGATTGACAATGGGGAGGGGTTGAGTGACAGTGGGGAGGGGTGAGTGACAGTAGGGTGGTGAGTGACAGGGGAGGGGGGTGAGTGACGGGGGGGGGGGGGAGTGACAGTGGGGGAGGGGGGGGGATCAGATGGTCTTGGAGGCCGGCTTTGGGTCCTTGAAGGCTTGGCGAAGGTTTTAATAGACTGGAGAGGCAGGAAATTCAAGTCCAACTTGAAACCTACGCTCAAGGGCCAGCCTCTATCCTACGCTCAAACTTCAACGTCCACACTCAATTCCTAACCTCAAACTCGCGCTCAAGTGCCTCCTTTGCCTTTATAACGCAAATATAGTGTTGATGAGATATGTCCTGGGTTCGTATCCTAGCTGGGGAGGATTGACTGGGCGCCAATCCTTAACTGTAGCCTCTGTTCACCCAGCAGTGAATGGGTGAAAGGCCCCATTGGCCCCCCATTGTAGGTCAAGCCTATACTCGAGGTCACCAACCCTCCCCCTCTCTCCCACTCCCCCCCTCCCCCCCTCCTCTCCCACTCCCCCCCCCCCCTATTGTTACAGTCATCCGGTTATTGTAATGTTGTTTACAGCGAGTGGCTGTTAAGTAACATGATTGTTAAATTAACGTTGGTTAGTGGGGGGGGGGGTTAACGAGTGGTTCAGAAATATTTAGGCTCAATTGAAGGTTTATGGAGAGCTTGTACTGGTGTAGTTAATTTAGGCCTATGTGGGTTTTTTGTAGTTTAATATTGTGCTGTTTGAAGGTGTGAACATGATGAGTATTTACTCATTGTGGGTGTAGGGCAGTGTAGTTGTTGTTGTTGTTTGTGGTAGCTCACTGTGTAGCTTCCTCCTCTAATGTGTAGGTCGGCTGGCTGGCCGACTGGCTGGCTGGCTGGCTGGCTGGCTGGCTGGCTGGCTGGCTGGCTGGCTGGCTGGCTGGCTGGCTGGCTGGCTGGCCGACTGGCTGGCTGGCTGGCTGGCTGGCTGGCCGACTGGCTGGCTGGCTGGCTGGCTGGCTGGCTGGCTGGCTGGCTGACTGGCTGGCTGGCTGGCCGACTGGCTGGCGGGAACCTCAGCCACCAGTATTGTGAAAGTGGGACGGGGCGACGCCTGGAAAAGCATTATTTTTATGTATATTCCCAAAGTTTTGAGAGGAGAGAGGAAGCTGTAGACCCATCATAGTCAGCGGTGACCACCACCTTCCCCCTCAATCCTTAGTCCCCTATACTGGCGTGGTGTCTTGCTGGGACTCGAACCCTGGCCACGGTTTGGATGGTGTGTTCTCTGGCTCGCGAGGGGAGCCTACTCTCAGGCCTGGAGTGATTAGGATAACCTAGACGATTTGTGGATTATCCCGCTTTCAGTTGGTGTCGATGGAGATACTTAGTCGTAGGAACTCTCCCCCCTCGCACACACACACACACGCACGCACGTGCACCTACCTCATGACATCCCCCCCCCAACACCTTGTTAACTACAACAAGTGTATCCAGAATGAGAATTTAATCCTAGTGCCATCAACCCCCCTAACTGCTGGATTGACCAACGGTGCCTCTTGTGAGGTAATGGGGAGGGGGGGTGAAGGGTGAGGTAATGGGGGGGATGAATGGTGAGGTAATGGGGGGGAGGGGGGTGGTAATGGGTAAGGGGGGTGGCCGCCCCCACGACCACAGAGCACGCAACATGGGGTGCTGCTCTTTATTACAAAGCTGGCTGCAACATTACTAATAAATGTGATGGTCTTGCACGATCGTTGAGAGTAAATCTGGCCGTAATTGGCTCGTTTTATGGACGTTTGTGCTCCTATGGCTGAGTTATTGAAGGGATTATCGGCCTTATGGTCCCCTGGTGTATACATCTGTATGTGTGGTGGTTGTATGACGTTTGCTGCTCTTGGTATATTGCCAGGGGGTATACTGGTATACTGCCAGGGGCGGTTTACTGGTATACTGCCAGGGGGGTGTACTGGTATACTGCCGAGAGGGTGGGGGTTCTCGTGGTGGGTGTAGAGCGGTTTACAACTTATATCTTGTGCCAGATCATGTACAAGTTGCTCAACAGGAAAGGCTTGGACCCCAAGCTTTGCAACATGTGCAATATTTGCAGCTTTTGGTAATCAAGGAAAGCTTAAAGTTTAGATTTTCCTAATTGGTCGTTTACCGTCCGTGCAACCTTGCCCTGGAGTGGTTGATGGGGCCCTGGAGTGGTTGATGGAGCCCTGGAGTGGTTGATGGGGGCCCTGGAGTGGTTGATGGGGGCCCTGGAGTGGTTGATGGGGCCCTGGAGTGGTTGATGGGGGCCCTGGAGTGGTTGATGGGGCCCTGGAGTGGTTGATGGGGGCCCTGGAGTGGTTGATGGGGCCCTGGAGTGGTTGATGGGGGCCCTGGAGTGGTTGATGGGGCCCTGGAGTGGTTGATGGGGGCCCTGGAGTGGTTGATGGGGCCCTGGAGTGGTTGATGGGGGCCCTGGAGTGGTTGATGGGGCTCTGGAGTGGTTGATGGGGGCCCTGGAGTGGTTGATGGGGCTCTGGAGTGGTTGATGGGGCCTCTGGGATAGTTGAAGGGGCCTCTGGAATAGTTGAAGGGGCCTCTGGGATAGTTGAAGGGGCCTCTGGAATATTTGAAGGGGCCTCTGGGATAGTTGAAGGGGCCTCTGGGATAGTTGAAGGGGCCTCTGGAATAGTTGAAGGGGCCTCTGGGATAGTTGAAGGGGCCTCTGGAATAGTTGAAGGGGCCTCTGGGATAGTTGAAGGGGCCTCTGGAATAGTTGAAGGGGCCTCTGGGATAGTTGAAGGGGCCTCTGGGATAGTTGAAGGGGCCTCTGGAATAGTTGAAGGGGCCTCTGGGATAGTTGAAGGGGCCTCTGGAATAGTTGAAGGGGCCTCTGGATAGTTGAAGGGGCCTCTGGGATAGTTGAAGGGGCCTCTGGAATAGTTGAAGGGGCCTCTGGGATAGTTGAAGGGGCCTCTGGAATAGTTGAAGGGGCCTCTGGGATAGTTGAAGGGGCCTCTGGAATAGTTGAAGGGGCCTCTGGGATAGTTGAAGGGGCCTCTGGGATAGTTGAAGGGGCCTCTGGAATAGTTGAAGGGGCCTCTGGGATAGTTGAAGGGGCCTCTGGAATAGTTGAAGGGGCCTCTGGGATAGTTGAAGGGGCCTCTGGGATAGTTGAAGGGGCCTCTGGAATAGTTGAAGGGGCCTCTGGGATAGTTGAAGGGGCCTCTGGAATAGTTGAAGGGGCCTCTGGGATAGTTGAAGGGGCCTCTGGAATAGTTGAAGGGGCCTCTGGGATAGTTGAAGGGGCCTCTGGGATAGTTGAAGGGGCCTCTGGAATAGTTGAAGGGGCCTCTGGGATAGTTGAAGGGGCCTCTGGAATAGTTGAAGGGGCCTCTGGGATAGTTGAAGGGGCCTCTGGAATAGTTGAAGGGGCCTCTGGAATAGTTGAAGGGGCCTCTGGGATAGTTGAAGGGGCCTCTGGAATAGTTGAAGGGGCCTCTGGGATAGTTGAAGGGGCCCCGTTGTGCTTCGGAGCTCCTAAACTGTTCAATAAATGTAAACAAAACCGCCATGGTTGCAGAAAGATGCAGAGGTTCCGCAAGGGGGTGCACGAATGGCCAGGTTATCGGGGGAGACAGTGGTGGGCGTTACAAGGGTGCCTGCACGGCCTGCACGGCCTGCAGGGTCGTGCAGGTCAACATATCTGACCTCCAGGCTAAGCAAGAGAGGCGCCATGCATGAATGGTCATCAATAATAATAGCAATTATGGTAATAATGGGTATAATAATAATAGGAATATTAATAGGTATATTTATGTAATAGGAATAATGATAACCAAACCAGTGATAACTAATGTGCTAGCAAATAATTTAAGACTGATCATAGCCCAGTCGATAGAGAGTCGCCTTCACACACGTGGGGTCCAGGGTTCGAGACTCATACAGCCCAAGTGATTGGAATGTGCTGACGATTCTCAGAATAACTCCCAAACGTTAATAGCGAAGATAATGGTAGTAGCATTAAGGGGAACTAATAGAGCCGACATTAATAGCAGGAACAGAGGCCTAAACACACACCATCTCTTAACTATAGCAGAGTTGTACTGGAAGGGGGAGACTATTGACAGGTAATGGGTACACCTATTAACAGGTAATGGGTTCACCCATTGACAGGTAATGGGTACACCCATTGACAGGTAATGGGTACACCCATTGACAGGTAATGGGTTCACCCATTGACAGGTAATGGGTTCACCCATTGACAGGTAATGGGTTCACCCATTGACAGGTAATGGGTGTTGTTCCTGAACTAAATCTGCTAGGTTTATAATTCCACGTTGCATTGAATTATGTTATATAATTATTTTCTTTCTTAACTTTTCTCTTGACTTAACTCGGAATCGAACAAGTTTGATCAAAGCTAACAAGTTTGATCAAAGCTAACCTAACCTATGGTAACCTATAGAAGTAAGAGGCCTGGTTGACGACCGGGCCGCGGGGACGCTAAGGCCCGGAAGTACCTCAAGGGAACCTACCCTACCCAAACCTATCCTACCCTGACCAAACCTATCCTATCCTACCCTGCCCTACCCAACCCTATCCTACCCTGACCTACCCAAACCTATCCTACCCTGACTACCCAAACCTATCCTACCCTGACTACCCAAACCTATCCTACCCTGACCTACCCAAACCTATCCTACCCTGACTACCCAAACCTATCCTACCCTGACCTACCCAAACCTATCCTACCCTGACTACCCAAACCTATCCTACCCTGACCTACCCAAACCTATCCTACCCTGACCTACCCAAACCTATCCTACCCTGACTACCCAAACCTATCCTACCCTGACCTACCCAAACCTATCCTACCCTGACTACCCAAACCTATCCTACCCTGACTACCCAAACCTATCCTACCCTGACCTACCCAAACCTATCCTACCCTGACTACCCAAACCTATCCTACCCTGACTACCCAAACCTATCCTACCCTGACTACCCAAACCTATCCTACCCTGACCTACCCAAACCTATCCTACCCTGACTACCCAAACCTATCCTACCCTGACCTACCCAAACCTATCCTACCCTGACCTACCCAAACCTATCCTACCCTGACTACCCAAACCTATCCTACCCTGACTACCCAAACCTATCCTACCCTGACCTACCCAAACCTATCCTACCCTGACCTACCCAAACCTATCCTACCCTGACCTACCCAAACCTATCCTACCCTGACCTACCCAAACCTATCCTACCCTGACTACCCAAACCTATCCTACCCTGACCTACCCAAACCTATCCTACCCTGACTACCCAAACCTATCCTACCCTGACTACCCAAACCTATCCTACCCTGACCTACCCAAACCTATCCTACCCTGACTACCCAAACCTATCCTACCCTGACTACCCAAACCTATCCTACCCTGACCTACCCAAACCTATCCTACCCTGACTACCCAAACCTATCCTACCCTGACCTACCCAAACCTATCCTACCCTGACTACCCAAACCTATCCTACCCTGACTACCCAAACCTATCCTACCCTGACTACCCAAACCTATCCTACCCTGACTACCCAAACCTATCCTACCCTGACTACCCAAACCTATCCTACCCTGACTACCCAAACGTATCCTACCCTGACTACCCAAACCTATCCTACCCTGACCTACCCAAACCTATCCTACCCTGACTACCCAAACCTATCCTACCCTGACCTACCCAAACCTATCCTACCCTGACTACCCAAACCTATCCTACCCTGACTACCCAAACCTATCCTACCCTGACTACCCAAACCTATCCTACCCTGACCTACCCAAACCTATCCTACCCTGACCTACCCAAACCTATCCTACCCTGACCTACCCAAACCTATCCTACCCTGACCTACCCAAACCTATCCTACCCTGACCTACCCAAACCTATCCTACCCTGACTACCCAAACCTATCCTACCCTGACCTACCCAAACCTATCCTACCCTGACCTACCCAAACCTATCCTACCCTGACCTACCCAAACCTATCCTACCCTGACCTACCCAAACCTATCCTACCCTGACCTACCCAAACCTATCCTACCCTGACCTACCCAAACCTATCCTACCCTGACTACCCAAACCTATCCTACCCTGACCTACCCAAACCTATCCTACCCTGACCTACCCAAACCTATCCTACCCTGACCTACCCAAACCTATCCTACCCTGACTACCCAAACCTATCCTACCCTGACTACCCAAACCTATCCTACCCTGACTACCCAAACCTATCTTACCCTGACTACCCAAACCTATCCTACCCTGACTACCCAAACCTATCCTACCCTGACCTACCCAAACCTATCCTACCCTGACCTACCCAAACCTATCTTACCCTGACTACCCAAACCTATCCTACCCTGACTACCCAAACCTATCCTACCCTGACTACCCAAACCTATCCTACCCTGACCTACCCAAACCTATCTTACCCTGACTACCCAAACCTATCCTACCCTGACTACCCAAACCTATCCTACCCTGACCTACCCAAACCTATCCTACCCTGACTACCCAAACCTATCTTACCCTGACCTACCCAAACCTATCCTACCCTGACTACCCAAACCTATCCTACCCTGACCTACCCAAACCTATCCTACCCTGACCTACCCAAACCTATCCTACCCTGACCTAATATAACTAACTCAGTCATCCGTGTTCCTAAATATAAATTATTATTGTTATTATTATTATTATTATTAAAGGACCAATATGGAGATAAATATTTGAAAATAGCAATAATTATTCTGGCTGTTAGGTGAGCTCGGACCTTGCATACTAGGCCAAGTAGTGCGGCTCTGGCTGTTAGGCACGACACACACAAAATGGCGTAGTTAATGTGCCTGTTAAGAGTAATATACACACTACGTGCATGTACATAGTGTTTATAAGTAGTAAGTGGGGACGTACATACACAGATGTCATTGTGTACGACATCACGTGCAGGAGGATGTGAGGATGGTGAGGAGGAAGGGAGGTGAGGAGGATGTGAGGATGGTGAGGAGGATGTGAGGAAGGTGAGGAGGATGTGAGGAAGGTGAGGAGGATGTGAGGAAGGTGAGGAGGATGTGAGGAAGGTG